ATGTATATTTATGTTCATTTTATTATTATTTTTATTTGTATTTATATCTTTATGTGGATGAATGTATATATTTACGTATACATATTGAATTTCAAACTCGTTTTCAAATTTCATATATACTGTCAACTGTTTTTTAGGCATATATGTTTTAAATATTACACGTTCTTAGCGAAATCAATTTAACCTTGACATTAGAGTTCCACATTTGTTTCTATACAAGTATATATTTGTACATAGGGATGAGAAGAATGATAAACTGGTATATGCATATTTGTCACAGTGTAGAAATTATGTTGAGGTCTTCAGTGGTGATGTTAATCTATAGCTTCAATTTTATATAAAATAGATCGTACACATCGTATTCGCTCATACTTTCATTCGAATTCAAATTACGTTGACAGTTACGACGTTTAGACACGAGTAATTCTGCGCTCATTGAAGCTCACAGTGTATGGTTCACATGACTGTGGTGTTAGACGTCAAATGCGGAGGTTTATGCTGGTCGATGTAGTAATAGTGAGCGACTCAGTGCTAAAAATGACGATACATATCTGAAATGATTGGATGCGGGTTCACATCTGCCTTCGTATGCCGAAGATTGTATATCTAGGCAAGGTGGTCGGACAACTCAGGATTCGCGTGTACCAACACAGGGTATTGATATATATATATACTCGTCACATGCACCTCTCGAGGAGAAATAAATATGCACGTCGCACCGTAGACGTGTCCTAACACTCTGACATTCGCTCATTTTCGGTCACAGATATAACACTAAAGGGAATCCCAATGTGATAGAGCGGAATCTCGCACAGCTTGTAGACGCAGTTGATGATTTCTATCAGAATTACCTCTTTCTGGAAGTGGGAGACATTCCGGATGTATCCCTAATCGGGAATTTGGACATCCCAATTTGTGAAGGTACTTCGCATTTGTATAATACAATACAAGCTATTCGTCGGTGTTCTCGGACCGTGTATATGCTTCTCGCGGAGGGTTAGTATAGATTGATAGTGGTATGCACAGTCCATCTTAGTAGTCAGATGGTTAGCAGCGTTTTCGTAGAATGGCAGTCTTCGTCTTTACTTGTCAAACATGAGCTGCACCCGATCTCGTCTTACGTAGACTCATGTTTATATACTCTATGCATCAGTCTCGGCTGCGAATTATTGTCAGCGTGTACGTAGTGTCCATTTTTTTCGTTTGTACTGTTCGATGTTCATTGCAAAGAATCCGATATTTAAGACTTCCGACCTGTGCCAAACACGTCCATATGCTTTTTATGCAGCCATATTTGAGAAATTTAAAAGTTTTTTTTCGGATTTACAACTCACAGCAAATGAGTGTCTCTGCATATCTGCTGCGTCAAGACCATTCTTCTAGTTTCTGTGTTGAGTTGTCGGTCTAATATCTGTACCCTCATATTCCCATTGCCAACGTAGCGAATTTCGTGCTATCAATAGCAGTACAGCTTAGGCTATCATTCACTTTACATACAAATTCCTTGACGATCATGCACTGTATCGCATAACCCTCATGCAACCGTATTGTACCGAATTCATTGCTACCGCAGCCTCCGATGATCTCACAAAGCTGATGGAGACTGTTCTAGGTGCGGCGGTACAATGTACTGACCGCCAGGACTACATTGAGGGTATTATGAAACTGGAACCGTCGACACAAGAACAACTGATGGAAGTTATCCAGACCATGATGGCTAGGTGGGTGCATATTCCATGCTTTCCTACAGTTGTGCTCTTGTGCAGGCTTCCTTTTTGGGTTGCTATTGCTTTGCTTGTGCTTGTGGCTATAATCTGAGGCTGGTAGCGTGATACGCGAAACTAAAACCATTCCCTTTTGAACTTGCC